CAGATCTGAATACTTTTAAATAATAAAAACAATTATAAGTTATAAAATTAAAACTTATTCATATTACATTTTATCTTGTTTATAACCATTAACAAAATAATCTTATAATAAATATCTAATATATTGCATTTAATATAAAATTTTACAAAATTTTATTAAATTAACATAGTTTATATGATTAAAAAATATTATTTATAATATTTCAAAAAATATATTTACAGATTTTTATGAGTTTTAAATGCTTTTTATTAAAATATAAACAAAAATAATATATATTATTATTTTTATTAGAGACTATATAATCAAATTTTTCTATATTTATTATACTTAAAAAGTAAAACTAAAAAAAATAATTATATAATAATTTTTTATTATAGTAAATTAATAATTAAAAAATTCATAAAATTATAATTATAAAAAATATAATTATAAAAGATATTATTATAAAGAAATCTAATAATTTATTAGATAAAATATAAATTAGTATAAAAAGATTCATATCTTAAATAAATATTAATAGTTTATTTTTTCAAAATAAATTTTTAATATTATTTTATTTAATTAAGTTAGTAAATATTGAGATTTATTTAAATGTAAATAATTTTATTATATATCTTTTATAAAAAAAATTTTTTTAATAATAGCTTTTTTTAATTATTATTTTTTTAAATTTTACTATATAAAATTTATCTCAATATAAAAATTAATAATTACTTTTAATAAAAATTATTCAAATTTTAACTAATCTTTATAATTTTTTTATATTAAATAAAAATAATCTAAATTAATTTTTATATTATTTTAACTATTTTATTATACTTTAATATAATAATTGTTTTACTAAAAAAAATATTTTAAATATTATCACTGTCAATTTGCAATATTAGAACTTTAAATTATATGAACAGATTATTCTAAACTTGATAAATATAAAATAGTTATAAAAATATTAAGATTTAAAGTTAAGTAATTAAATTATTTACTATATAATTTTTATATTATAAATTGATACAAAAAGATTTATATCTTAGATAAATATTAATAGATTATTTTTTAAAATAAAATTTTAATTTTATATTATTTAATTAAGTTATTAAATTAAGTTATTAGATATTAAGATTTATTTAAATATAAAAATTTATATTATATATATTTTATATAAAAAAATTTTACTAATAATAACTTTTTTTAATTATTATTTTTAAATTTATTATATAAAATTTATTAAAATCAATATAAAAATTATATAGTAAATAATTTAATTACTCAACTTTAAATCTTAATATCTTTATAACTACTAATTTAACTTTTATAAAATTTAAAATATATATTTATCAAATCTAGAATAATCTGCTTATATAATTTGAAGTTTTAATATTATAAATTGATAGTAATAATATTTAAAATATTTTTTTTAGTAAAATAATACTTTATTTATTATTAAATTGATATATAATAGAATAATTAAAATAGTATAAAAAGTTAATTTAGATTATTTTTTATTTAATATAAAAAAATTATAAAAATTTGAATAATTTTTATTAGAAGCAATTATTAATTTTTATATTGAAATACAAATCTTTTTGTACTGTTCTATAATAATTAAAAATTAAAATAATATTAAAAAAATATCATAATAATATTAAAATCAGAATAAAATATAAATAGTATTAAATATATAATTATGAATAAGAAATATAATATAATTTAAAATAAAAAATATGAATTATATAATCTTACAAAATTATAAAATATTAATTTTCTATTACTATTATAATAATATAATATTAAATAAATATTAAATTTTTTGAGTTACTTTATATAATTCCCTTAATAAATTAATTAATTCAATTTATATTAAAGTATTAAGTATAAATTTGATTGTAAACTGAATAATTGTATAATAAATTATTTTTATATTGTTGAGTTTATTGGTTTCATAGTTGAATGTTTTGTTAATTAAATCAAATAAAGTATCTTTATTATATCTTATATTTATTATTGAGTTTTATTCATTTACTTTCATTATTTCTTTTATACTATTCTGATATCTTATTTTTCAATATAGTAATTTTCATTATTGCAGAACTTTGACTCTCATAACTTTTGTTCACTTTTCAAATAAATAAATTCATGCTTACTTGATTATATCAAATTCAATAAGAAAGAGGATCTGTAATAAATAAAATATTAATATCAATTCAAATTTAATAATTAGTAAAATCGAACTGTATTAAATATTAATAAGCAGATCAATAATCAAAAAAATTTTCAAATCTTTTAATGTACTCAATTTTCACCTGATTTGAGATTTTGAACGCTGATATGCTATTTCTAATTATATAAATTTTATTTGGTAAAGTAGAAACTTTTATAGTCCGCGCGCCTTCTATAATTGAAACAGGCTGACTAAGTGAAAAGAGACAATATTAAAATTAGCAAGATAATATGGAATTCAGACAAATCTTTAAGTGTACCCCTTGAGGGCACAATTAAAAGGAGTGTGGATTATAGAGCGTATTTTCTGTATCTGATCAAAACTTGGACCAGGTGTTTTTAGGGATGGTGTGTACTTGTAGGCGGTGCAAGAATATAAAAGGCGTTGTAACGATACTACTTGTTATAAAATTTTATAACAGGTTAGATATTAAGATGCAAATAATAATTTTAGTTAATATTTTAACTACTACATATCCATTAAATCAATATTCCAAAACTTGAATTATTTAATGATAAAAGTTGAAATGTACATGTATATAAAAAATGTAACGATTAATCCCATGATATTCGTGATTCTCTATTTTTCTGTGCACGTGGTTTTCTGATATTACACACCTAGAAACAAATACAAAAGTTATTATAAAATCAGCCAAAGACATCATAGTGAGAATATATGGTTTTTCTTTTATATAAACTTTAATTCAAAGACATATCTAAACTAATCATGATTATAATAAATATAAAATATAAATTTTGATGATATAAAGAAATATATAAAAACTAAAAATAAAATTACGTTCATAAACTAATTATACAAAGTACAAACTTTTCCTTTTCCTACCATTTTTAAAAAAGGATAAACTTTATCTGGTAAACCATGAAAAGATACTCCTGATCTTTCAGAATTAATCGAGAACGCACAAGTCTTGCTTATCATGTCCACGTGTACTGTAACAACATCTCCTTCCTTAAAACTTTCAGAGCTTATACTGCAGATTGGCCCATTAGAAACAAATAGATCTATAAATCGTGTTGATGGTTCTTTGTGTAGACCAACCAAAATTTTTTCCTTTTTAAACATTTTCTCAATTAATATTTTCCATTCATATATATCTTTCTTAGTAAGACATTGTTCAGTTCGAATTAATACTCCATTAACTTCATTTTTAGATTCGACCACAGATCCATCTTCGCTGATAGCATAACAAACTGCTTCTTTGCGCCATTTTAAATCTTTGACTCTTTGTGGCACATAAATTTGATATTTTTCATATGTTCTCTGTGAACTTGAGAGATTGCTTGATGAGATCGCATGAAATCGGTATGCTTCCATCAGTTGATCCATTGCGAAAATTTTAAGTGGATCAATGATAAAACCTAATATTTTGATGGAAATAAGTTTTAAGTTGATGTAAGGAAGTAACTGTCCAATTTCATCGAGCAATTGATTTCTTAAATCACTTATCGAAATTTCTACAGAATGGTTATAGGCATCAGGATTTACTTCCGTGCAGAATTCTTCTATGCATTTTGGCAATAATTTTGAAAATATTCCAAACGCCTTTGAAGAAATATTATTTGCTCCCCATAAAACAACATAGCGAAATACTTGGTACTCTGGTGTCACAAAATTTTCACCTTGCTCAATAGATTGTGATAAAAGCGATTTCAAAACATCGAATGAAATCGTATTATATGGGATTGAATCGAAAGGAATCTTTATCACTCTTTCATAAACAGTCTTGATAAGAGAGTTTCCCTTGTCAAGCTTCTCAGTTCCATACTTAGTAACTATCGATGAATAAAGACAGATAGCTTTCGTATCATCATTTTCTTCACAAAGCATACTTAAAATCAATTCAGAAACCCTTGTCTCCATGGTTGATAAAAGTAAAAAGTTCGCCGCACAAAGTACATCGATCACATTTTTAAAATTCAAGGTATTTTTATCAATATCGCCTGTATACAAAAATTCTAACACAATCTTCATGGTAGTAGACGATATTTCTTGAAATGATATTTCCGCCGCATCGGTTTCGCTCATTCCATTATTAAGCATACGGTTAAATACTTCACTTCGAGCTGCCAAATGTATACGACTTCCATACAAAATTTGGTTATCGGAACATTTGATTCTAATATCGCTGAATTGTTGATTATTAAGAATTGATTTAAGATCATCAATTAAAGAAACACCACGAGACATTTTAATAGTGAGCTTAACAAAATGAAAATATTATTCGAATTAAGTTTTTTGCACATGTATCGGTATACAAAAAGAACATTTACAAACGTGTTTATAAGTGATTGGATGATCCGATACATGTGTAGACATTAATGCAGATCATTGTAGCGAGAAAAATATTTCAATATCGTCTATATAAAAAATTTTTGTCTTCGATCCGATATTAATTTCGCTTAAATTTAAAAAGAATTTTATCAGAGAAATAAGTAATTGTAATCAAATTAAGAAATGAATATAAAAAGTACCTTTTTCTTCATTCCAGATCTCGATTTTAATCTTTTGGCAATCGACAACGGCAACGTAGGTTTCTTTACACGATCCAACAACTTCAATGGCTCATTTTGAAATATTTCGTAAACGCAACAAGTAGCATATACGCCCGTCCCGTCTTCTACTTTGTCGGGTGATCTAACCGGATACACGCTTTTTCGCTTTGAAATACTTTTACAGTTCCTTTTCTGAGAGATTGAATTCGTGTCGTTATTGCTTTTTTGGGTGACTCTCGAGAAAAAAGTGAACCCAGGAGCGATTATCTGTCCTGCAAAGAAAATATAACGAGATTTTTGGGGCTGGAATTGTGATGATTGTGTGGGCGTGGTAATGGTAGAATCGGAGGTGATTGTGGTATAAGAATTTTGGCTTAATGCATCATTTTGGTAATAATATTCTTGATTGTTATTGTCGTCTTCTTTTATTGTTGAATGGCTGGACGCAGTTGAACAGATTGACTCCAAATCCCAATCGGGAGAGGAAGAAGAGGAATAGGAAAATGATGAGGTGGATTCTTGAGGATTTTGTCGTTGACTTGAGAGTGGAAATTCCGTTTTAGATGTTGTGCTTATGGAAGTATTGTTATTGTCAAATAATGGCGTTTCATATACTTCTGTTAGATTATGACAAATAATTTGTTGTTGCGAGTCGAAGTCGAGGTCAGATGAATCATTCCATTGTTTATGAACTATTTATTTTTGAGAAATGAATATAAATATTTTTTGTTTTTCTACATCAAATAAAGGAAATTTATGACGTGGTAAACAAACCTTCAAAGTATTTTTTATCATTAATACTGCCAGGTTGGTGTTCTTGCGTGTTTTGTTCCATATTTGATGATAATAAAAATAATAAATGTAAGAGAATAACAAGAGGTAGCGTAAAAATTTTGTTATCTAAATGAGTTTCTTCTATCGATAAAAAAACAAAAACTTGTTTTATGGTAAAGAAAGAGCCAAAAAAAGCTTATAGTTGATAGTAAAGTACTAAACTTTTATATATTTGGCCGATTGACTGCAGCTAATACGTACGCCTCAATAATTTAGCAATCAATCAAATCGAATTTCAAGAAGTAAACTAAGTATATTTATTGCTGAACGTTTAGTTGGTTTGGCTGGCGCACACATAAAAAACACATATAAACACAACGACGACAAACATTGAGTTGTCGCAATAATCGGAGAAGGTTACACAGTATAAAATAACATTTGATCGTATTTTTTTGTTATTTCAAGATGAAGGGGGTATGTTGTTCACTCATCGTCTAGTGCTAGCCCAATACAATTTTTTCAGTTTCCTAACGTTAATATTGGATTTAATAGCAAGCTAACATGATTTATAACGTCTGAAAAGAAATATATCATTAATTTAAATAACAAAGATAATGTGAATTACGTTCATGTAAAATTCATGAAAAGAACAAGAATGGGAATTTTCATCGTTTTTTCTCTTTCTTACATGTACAGGTACATATTAGAGTTTTTTCAATTTAGAGTGTTACGTGCAACCTGCATCAAGTAGATCACTTACTTTTTATGCTTTTGTGGCTTTTAGATTTGTAAATCTTATCTTACTAAAAAGCGGGTGCATATATTTATAAAAAGTGCTCGTCTTTCAATTTTTACCTTGAAAATAACAATTAATGACTGTCCCCAAAAAACTGTCATAATAATCTTTGCAGATTTCGGTTATGCGCTACAAGTTTAAATTTAAAAGTTGACTCGACTTCAAACCACCTGAATTTTTAAATATACGCGTATCAACTAAAAAGTCCAAGATACAAAATAACAGGGAACGTGCAGATGGAAGCATTATATAAAATACATACGCTGTGTGTGCAAATTTTATAAACAAAACTGCGTTTAAAAAGCAAATCGATCCTAAATTCTTTTGCTTTTAAATTTATTATACCACCAATTTAAGCGATGCTTTAATAACTAACGTAATTTCATGACAACCGTAACTCATTCTTCATATATTTAGAAATTAATGCCGACCTTCCCCACGCATCGACACTCTCACCATAGATCTCAAAAATTTCTTTCGCAAGTTTTTGTCCAATGTGTAATTTCTTTGATAGAGTTGGTTCAATATGGCGATTATGTTTATAATAGAATGAGAAAAATATGCCTATTATTACAGTATAGTTTCAAAACCATATTTGTTCAACAAAGCAAAACCATTGGCAAACTACATGTATAAGATTACTACTAGAAATTACATGCATTGATGTTCAATATAATCAAGCATTAAATCTTTGAATTTTCCTAAATAAATGAGTAGTTGTCTTAACTTATTGTTACAGCTATGATTACGTACATGTACATGTACATGCATTCGTTGATTGCACGAAAACATAGTCGCGCAAATGCTAGAGGCACATGTACATGTATTTTGTCATGCACACAAATACATGTACATGTACATGTACGTAGCCGAACAAATACAAGTAACACAACTCAATTAAATGTACCATAAACGTACCATAAACATGCAATTGGCATGTTTGCTGACGACTCTTCTCACTTACTACATGTACATGTACATATGATTAATGTACAGTAGTTTTGTTCTTTCTTTTATACATGTTACTACATGTATAAAAATATGTAATAATAATTTAAGAAAAGCCAACAAGTTCCCGATATTTTGCCTATAGCTAACTCGCTTTAGCGTAATAATTCAAATTGATTATGCAAATATTCAGATAATAATGTTTAAAGACTTATTATACTCATGGTTCAACGAATTCAAATTTGATTTATCATTTGTGCAGAAAACATGGTATTAACAGACCTTGTTAATGATGTGTAAATATTTAAAATACATGTACATGTTAAATTTGACAAAACGGACGATCGACACTAATCTAAGTCTAATAATATCAGACATTATGGAACTAATGAACGTCTTGATCCGTTATATCGACTTTATCTGTATACCTATTTTTAAAATCTTCGAAAAAAACACAAAATACAAAAAAATCGTCATCGAAGGTTTCATATCTTGAAGGCTTCAATTTCCAAAAATTACTGACATCACTGGATTCTAGCTTTGAAATACCATGTGACAAGACGATACAACTGGTGTCGTGATCAACTCAAAAGTTTGGATCAGATTCTATTTCTGTAACGATAAGTCTGACAACTGATTTTTGGACCATGGAGTGCCATTTATCAGGTGATTTTTTTTAGTTGGTTAGTGAAATTGTCAGATTCATTTTGTTAATATACAGTTAAACTCCTGCTATAGTCACATGCTAAAATCAGAGATTCATGTGACAATTGCGGAGGTTACTGTATAGATTTACCAGATATGAGTATGATGGGTAGTGCTCTATAAAAAACTCATCTGATAATGGCACTCTTCTTATATCAGTATTGTATGCAATAACACGATGTTGTATCGCTTTTAAATAAACAAGTCTTATTATATTCACATATCAAAAAAATAACTTTTATTACAAGAATCAATTGAAGAATGGAATTTGCAGGAACAATTTTTATAAATGATGCGTTAATGAACAAAGTAATACGATTAATGGCTAATATTGTGAGATTTCATGCACAGCACATACTTTGCAATTGTCTGTGGCAATAAATTAATTTTATTCAACTTATAAAATTATGAATCGATGACTTTCAATTATTCTTCAAAACAAATAGAAATGTTGTATTTAGTAATCAAATTGGTTCCGTATAATTCTTGGCTTTGGGGTCAAATAAGAGATTAATTTTTCTTAATTGGTCTTGATTTATTTGAATATAAAAGAATCTTAATAATTAACTCTATAGTTTATGATATTTTTACAACATGAAATTCAAATATTTTGGCTGGAATTATCTAATTGATTTTAAATAGGAACTTTTTTTTGGTTTGACAGTAATTTTAAATATGTATTTTAATTTATAATATTATGTTTATTAGTAATTATGAACAACATAATAATCTCAAGCTGTGTAATTCAAACAGTGACTTTAAGGGTAATTACTAATTATCTATTAAAATAATTTTATTAGTAATAATTAATTTTCATTAAGAGACAAAAATAAAAAATTAGCTCAATTATTAGTAAGTTCAATCAGGTAAGAAAACTGATAACATTACTAATTTTAAAATGTACAATTTGTATAAATCGTTTTGGCACAATCTGTAATAACTTTAAGAATTATGATAATAATAAATCTACTTGTAATAATCTTATAATATCTCCAGAATTGAATATTTAAAATTAGTATTAGTTTTAGGATTAAACTTATGAAAAATTATTTTCCAATGCAAGATTTTGCATCAGGACTTTTTTCTAAGAAAATTTTGATTTATAGAATTCGTGCATGCGATTCTATTGGTTATAAACAAATCATCCTATATGATTGGTTGCTAAGAAATAAACATAGCCTTAAAATTCTTCTTATAAAAGTTTTTGATGCTCTAAGTAAAAAGATTCGTTACCGCTACATATCATTTGCACACTGTTATCGTAAGTACATGTGCATGTAGTTTTATGCTTGCTATTCTCGTTATACGTACTTTTGATCTTAATTTGCTAATACAAAAATGTCCGAAATTAACAATAAAAATTCGGAAAAATTTCGCCATCTTCGTCTTTCTTTATTCCATCATCATCAAATGATCATATTAATAATTCATCAAGGTTGAACGAGGCAAAAGAAATTGAACTTTTCGAGAATAATAGTATAGCAAGAATAAAATAAAGCACCACTGAATCTGAAGAGAATCCGCAACAGGCCGAAAACAGAAGAAATAATGACAATGAGTCAAAAAATATTCCGATGACGTTATAAATGTTACAAATGGTGGATATATAATATTTACTCCAGCAATAGATGTATATTTAAATATAAATGAAAGCAGCGGAGTTAGGCCACTTTAGCGCACAATGTAAATCTAGTGTACTTGAAAGCAGCATACAATGTATCTAGATTTACTGTTGTTCCTGGTCATAAATTCAATTCTTATTAATATTAAAATATGAAAGACATTAATTACAAAAAGAAATATTATTCAAATATTTTTTAACATGAGCATAAAGCATTTGATTGATATTTAAGAGTCTGCAAAGTCCGAGTATTACAAAGTTCAATTGAATCCTAAAAAATTCTATCAATATGGAATAGGTGTTTCAAAAAAATATCGAATTAGTTTTAAAATTATCAAAGAGGCATGATCGAACTCCTGATATAATTGAATCCTTTAATTTTGGAGTAATCTTTGGATTTTAGTTTTGAATCGATTTAATGTAAAGTAAATGTAATTGTTTTATTTGAATTTTTTAAAATGACAATGATCGTTATAATACATGTATTATCATTAATGCAATTTCAGAATATTTAATTATAAAGTTAATTGTTTTGTTAAAAATATCGAGGCGGACGACAGTTTCGTCAATAAACGCTATAAATTTTATGATAACACAATTTTATAAACCAATTTAGCAAAATATTGGTGATTTCGTATAAACAAGAAAGTATATCCTAAACATAAATATAAAAGTGAAAGGATATAATTTTGATAAAAAGGAATGAAAATTTGCTGCGCGGTAACCATGGATTTCTATCTATTAACTGCTGTATACCGTATTTTAATATAGTAAATGACTTTTCGGATAATTAAATACCAGCACTGCATACATGCATTTGTTTAAATGACATTTAATTGCATGTAAAATGTACATGCAATTAATAACAATTAACAATAATCAAACTTTCTTTATGTACTGGCTCAAAATTATATAAAAAATGGAAACTCTTAAGCTATATGTTTTTAATAATTATTTCTAATTTTTATACCATTCTCAAAAAAAAAATGATTTTTATCTATCGAGGCTTAAGATGCAAGAAATGTTTAATTTAAAATCATGAAATATTTATACATGTATATGTTTACTATACGATTTCAAAAGGACGAGATTTGTGTGGGTAAGTGTTGCATATAGAATTTATTTAAAGACAAATTCAACGTTAAACTTATATCAAGGCTAATATAACTAATAACATTTAACGTATATGCATAAATTTATAATGATTAATTTAACTCGAAAACTTCAGAATTCAACCTGAAGGAATACATAGCTGTGTTGTGCAAGAATCACTAAAATTTTTATTTAATATGAAGCGACGTTTTTCTAGCTCATATACTAAAAAAATTCAGTTCAATTTTGTGGATAGAATGAATATATCATGTTGCTTCTGGTACAAATTGCAGCGAGCATCGCTGTGAAATTTCTGAGAATATGTTATATCATATATATAAATGTATAAATTCGAAGTATATAATTTGGAAAACATTGTAACTTACTATCCTCCTTAATTTTTTAAAAGTGGTTTCATAATAATTTTTAGATTGTTCTCGCGTCCAAATCTAACAAGAATCTACCTTACTTAAAAATAAAGATAACATTTACGTGTAAATAATAACGATAAGATGATATTCTTTTGGTGAATATATCTTTCGGTTTTTTGTTTTCCATTATGGTATTAAGCAAAATAACCAAAGCTCAGAAAATAACAAAAAAGAAAACGTTTAGATTATATCCTATATATCGACATCGTAAATGTAAGTATATACATGTAATCTACTGTAATATAAATGTATATTAATATTCGTGATATTAATTTGTTTTAGCTTTGTAAGAGTGTATACATGTAATTTATTTACTCGAAACAGAAGCAAATTATAAGTTTTGATTAAAAGTTGAAGTTGAAACAAATCATTTTGTATAACCAAAAATGCAGCTAATATCGATTCAATATTCTCTAATATTTTTAGATCAAATTATTATTAATGAAGTGAAATATAAAGTAAAATAACTTAATTTTTCATTTCATCTAAAAAATAGCGTTCTTTTGATGTTTCATCAAAAATCTATTTTCTTTGCAAATTTCTCGATATATCTTTCGATTTTATGTAGTTCACTTAAATCGAATCTATCGCTATTTGGATAACGATAATCATAAGAAATCATTGTACTACACTTTTGCAGATCACGTAACTAATGTTGCTGTAGTAACGTAATTTCTTTAAAAACACGGAAATCATTACCATTTTTGGAAAAATTAACATAACGATAATTTGTCTGATGACCATAAGCAAGTATTGACACTTCGAGATTAATTACATATTTCGATCGGCAGCATCATTGAATACTTTACATTGTAGTACATGTAATCTTAAAATTTGTAGCGATAGTTCCCCGTAATTTTTGACACGCATACTTCCACTATTTTTGTTTGGATCAACATCTAATTGTGTATGTTTCTTAGTCCTTTCGATGTTTTGTCAATTTCTTGAGAAACATATACTTTAGTAATATTTAGAATTCTAGATCGATGTTTCTTGACATTCATGTCCTTATTCTCTCCAATGCTCCTTTATTACTGTCATTCGCATTGTCTTCGAATTTATTATTTAGAAACGATAATAATCATAGATATAGTATCGATTTAATTGATATAAAAAGGCAGAATATTAGCCTTGAACGATACGCTCTAATCAATAAAAAGAAAATAATAATAAATTATTTAACCCGTAATAATCCTGTTACTTGTAACTAACTACACTATTATTGATTATCTTCAAAGCTTGCGTTCGAGTTTTTTTATTTTCTTTTGTGTCTAACATAAATTGATAATGAAAGAACTCCACTTTAATAAACCATAGTTAGTCTGTGTTTCGCTTTGCGGAGATTGAATAATAACCCCGCCTGCCGAATTTTCTTTGTGCTGTATTGTGAAGAATTGCTTTGTGCTTTAATCCGAATTGTTGTGGTTTTCGCACAGAAGACCCCTTATAACAGTTAGAAAACCCCTTTCCTTGCAAACAATTTAGTCTAAACTTTCCTACCTTTGATGTTACGCCCTAATTTCTTGGATCCACATCTTCTGGAGGTAGCGTAACACTAACACTAATTTCAAATCCTTTTTTTCGACCTTGCTGATCTGGCTTATCCGGTGATATCAGACGGTTTATGAAGAAAACATTTAATGTCACTTAAAGCTAAAAAAATAATTCAAAGTGCCTTTTATTAACACATGGGTCCAGTTTGATCTCTTATAAGACACCATACAGATGAGACTACTAATTAAAAATAATGGCATGCGACTTACACAAGAATAAAATAAACTGATTTACAAGTCAACCTCTCTTTAATAGCTTTTTTATTAAAAAAAATTCCTAAGATGATTAACGACATTATTAATGATTCTCTGTGACAACGAATTTGTGAAGTCGTTATAGAGCACATTTAAATGCACGTCAGGGGTTAACCTCAAATGCTACACATCTAAATAAAAAAAGATTTCTTTTAATACGTCATTAAACCCATGTCCATTTCTTAGCATAAAAACGACTCGCTCACACAAATAGACAAGTAAACTACTTGTAGATGTAAACACGCAAATAGAATATTCTTGTAATACATTTTACATATACACATAATATTAATTGTATAACGATTATCTCGTCTCGTTATTTCAAACATTCGTGTTAATATATCGACATAAAGTGAACTCAAAGATGGAGTCTAATACTCATGATTGCAGTAAATGTTTCGATTGTCAATATTGGGCATACTGCAATAAGGTTTCAGATCACAATACTCACGACTGTAGCAGATGTATTTATTGTCAAAGAATTACTGCTGATGATGTTATAAATATCACAAACGAATTTATAAATTTGAATAGTCTAGCGAAGACAAATATATCGACAATCTAATAAAAAAATGTGACGATATTATACGAATGGATTCCATTTGAAAGATTTATCGATGTTGAATATCTCGCAAAAGGAGGTTTTGAGACAATTTATAGAGCAACTTGGTTAGACGGAGAAATTTACAAATGGGATCATGAAGAAAATCAATTTAAACGATGGGAAAAAAGGAAAGTGGCGTTAAAATTATTACACAATTCAAATCAAATTATTAAAGAATTTATACTGGATATCGACGTTCTATGTAACAAAATTAATTATAAATATAAAAATATATTCGAATGGATTCCTTTTGAAAGATTTACCAACGTTGAATATCTTGCAAAAGGAGATTTTGGGTCAATTTATAAAAAATTTCTAGAGTGAAGTTACTTTTAGTTCTCTAACACGATCAAATTTTTCAAAAAGAGATTCAGACTGCTTTTGGGCTTGGAATAAACTATTACAAATGAGTAATGGATTATGCAGATCTTCGCAAATATATTTAATTCCAGCTACATGTATATGCACGACAAAAAATTAACTTGGTTTAAAAAATTAGAATTTTTATATTTTATTATCATAAATTTGAGAAACATTCACGAACGTGGATTCTTGCATCATGACTTTCACCCCGGAAATATATTATTAGCGCGAAAATACTCCTCGAATTGCTGATTTTAGACTTACCGGCCCAGCAGTTATAAGAAAAACCTAACCAAGAAATTTATGGAGTATTTCCTTATATGTGCCCAGAGGTGCTAAATGGAAAGCCATACACTAACTCTGCAGATATTTATAGCTTTGGGATGGTTATGTATGAAATTGTAACAGGTGAACGACCATTTGATGAACGAAGTCATGATCTTTATCTTGTATGCGAGATCTATAAAGGAGTACGACCTACGATACCAAATAATATTCCTGAATGGTGCAAATCATTATTGGGATCCTCGAATTTTTACTTCAAATTTAACATCAATACCAACTGATACAGGTACATTTATTTTTATATTCAATTAAAATATATCAAATATTTTATACAAGTGTTAGTCTGTATGTTCCAAATAATCCGAATGAAGGTAAAAGGTTTATTAATTAAATATATTGTTTGCATGCAAATCTAAAATATGTAACTACTGAATATGATATAGATATCGATGCAAAACCTAATATGTGATTTTATAGTTAAAGCGAAGCAAATGAAGGCATGTGTATCAATTTTCCACAGTAATAATTATACTTTTCGTTTATATTTCTTAATGATCCATGAAATTAAAATTCTAATTACCTAAATCTTATATCTTCAATAGCTCAATTTGCTGATGTTTATCTTTGGTGGTGACAATATCACAAGAAGCTTTCCCTATTTTGTGCCAAATGGTAAGAAAATATCTCTCAATTCCAGCAACATCAGTTTCAAGTGAGAGATTAGTTTTCTGTTACAGGAAATTGAACTAAGCCCAGATCTTTTTTAATCTACCACTCTGTTAAAAAATTAGTTTATTTTTCATAGCTATATATATATATACTAAGTCACGTTATACAGTAACGGAACAATGGATTGAGGTCCAGAAACAGTCTATAATAAATCGCCGCCGTCAATATATTCATCAATAGACCATTGATATAGCGGATTTTTTTACTAATGAACCGACCCGGACTGTTATACATTTTGACTGTACAACAAAATAAAAAAAACTTTTTAACCAAGTAAATTTTTTATCTTTCCAGATATATCCTAGGCTAGTGATCAATTGGGTTTAGCTCTAATCGATTAGCAAACCGATGCCTGCTTTTCATAACAATAGATCCATTGGCGGAGGTTTTGGCATGCAATTAAAAAGCATACTTCGTACATACATGTACAAATAACGGGAAAGCACTTGAATTACAGCAAAAATGAGGATTTATAAGGAAATCTTCATCTGGTGATACAATTTGCGCATAACTGTAACGAGAGTCACTTGAATTTACAGCAAAATATGAGGATTTATAAGGAAAATTTTCAGCTATGGTGAGATGTTAAATTCTATATTTAATTATTTTTTATTTTTTTCACGGTCAATGAATACAAAATAGGTGAAATGAGGATTAATAAGGAAAATTTTTCATCTGGTGTTCAATGATAAATTTATACTTAAGTCTTATCGTTATTATTATCTTTAACCTTTTTCTTAGATGCTATTGATATTTGCCCGACTAACTAAAATAATAAATGAGGAAAAATGAATTCATTTCTCAAAATAATTATTGCCATTATTAGCGTCAGTATTTTAAGTTCTCTATGTGATACAATTAACCCTGCATCGCTTCAACGCGACGGAACCAGTGCAGTTTTGATCGATAAAAAAATATATTATATCGGTGGCAGAACAAAAGAAAACCTCACTTCAAACGATGATGCATTTCTATTGGATTTATCATCAGACTTTGCAGTAGATGAACCAAATTTTACAAATTTTACTCAAGTTTCTGGACTTGAAAATATGGCATCACCTACTTGGACTGCTGCTTGCCTAGGAAAAGATAATACTATATATATATTTGGTGGATCAGATGGATCAAATTCGGTAAAATTTCGAACTCGTTTTTATTTTAATCAATCAGTAAAATATTAAATAATCGTTTATTGTCATCGTTAAATTCTAAAAGTCATTACCCCAAACAAACACATTATACAAAATAAGCCGATCCAGCGACAATTCTCTCATCTGGACAGAAGTTTCATCAAATCAAGGAGACACGTGGCCAAGTCAACGAGATGGAATAGTTCCAATTATTGATAATCTTTCAAGAATTTACGTATGGGCTGGACGTAATAAAAATTTAACCCTAGATTATACAATGTATATATTTGAAGTGGATAATTGGAAAGGCTATATTTTGGATAATGCGCCGATTCCAAGATCATCTTATTCGGCTACGTTATTAAATGATGGCCGAATTATTTATATTGGCGGTCAGAATGCAACCTCAGCTTCAAAAGTGTTTAATTTTATGGAGGTAATGCGAGTGAGATATTATATTATTATATGGTAGTAATTTATCTAATTCTATCGTTAATTAATCATCCAGCTATTAATATTTGATACCACAAAACTTAGCTGGACTATTCAAGTAAGCTAATACGTTTAAATACGCGTGCTATACGTACATTTAATTTATTGAAAATTTTTATTTAGCCATCCACAAGTGACACAAGCATAAAAAATCGAGCTGCACATTCAGCATTACTTCGTAATAAAATTTAAAATTTATCTCATAAAGTAATAACAATGTGTAAATTAAAATGACTAATATTATTTACTTTAAAATAAAGACTTGGATTCCATTTCTATTATTATCTATGGAGGAGGTTACTATATAGGAGGCGACAGTCCTTACGGGGATATTCCCGAGTCTGACTCAGTATGGATATTGAATACCAAAACTTGGTCATGGTCCCAGCCATCAATTCCTAGCTTATCCTACATTAATGTGACAAAAGGTCATACTGCAGTTATGTATAATGGATATATGATGATAGCTTTAGGTAAATTAGATTTCATTGTTTTCTTTTATTCTTTCATATTATATTTCTCTTATTTATCTTAAATTTCATTTTGCAGGAACTAATCAAGATATTACTATTAATTATACATCTCAAATAAAAGTTATGGATGTCACGAATTTAAGCTCACTGGCTTGGGATCCTACTTACAAAGTAAGATTACCATCAACCACGACTACTACAGGTCCAACAAATACACAAAGTACAAATGCTTCAACTGATGGAACCACTGGAAAAAATCTTGGTCTAATACTTGGAATTGTTATCGGTGGCATCCTTCTTGTTATCGCGGTTTTAATGATATTCTTTATATGTCGTCGACGTAGATCGGAGTCTTCTGCTACCCCTTATCCTGTTACTCCTGCTACAAATGGAAGACATTCAGAATATTCGAACAATGAACCAGTTTCCGTTACTACAAATGGAAGACATTCGGAATATTCTGCACATTCGAACAATGAACCAGTTTCCGTTACTACAAGTGGAAGACATTCGGAATATTCTGCACATTCGACCAATGAACCGGTTTCTGCTATTTTTTCAACTGTCAACACAACAGGGTTTCCAGCCCAAGTTCAGAATACAAATCCATATAATTTTTATCCTAATCCAGCATACATGTACCAACAATATCCACAACAATATTTATATAATAGACAATGAATTAGTCATCTAAATTCAAATATACTGATTCTTTGATTTGTTGTTTTCGGTATTTTGGTTATTACGTATTCATAAATCGAAAACGGGTCATAAATCAAATGTCTCTATTATGTTTTCGCTTTTTGATCTGGCTCTAGGAAAAGTTTGGTTTATTACATAATGCTGTAAAGATTATTAAATATAATTATTCATGAGACTTATAAAACACATACAATTAATATCAAATACAAGTACTTAAAGTATAATCCAAAAATCTAAAATTTATTATATAAAAATATAGTTTAATCAATCAAAAAATATTAATAAAATAAAATGATTTAATTAAATAGATCTAAATACACTTTGTTTTTGTCAGGTATTAAATAATATTAAGAATCAATTACAGTGCATGACACTTAAAGACGCCAATCACGTGACTTGTCCCATTTTTTCAAAAAATCAAATCAAATTTAAATAAGCCAAAAAATCTGATTTGTCGAAAAATCACGTGTTAATAAAGTCACGTGTTATATAGTAATAATATTATACTCCGAATATTTTTTCTCTTTCTGAATATTCGAATTTTGAAAAACGTGATCCAATAAAATATAACCAATGCAATAACCAATAAAAAATAAAAAATGTGATCTGGCTTTGACCAATCAAAATTAAAATTAGATTACTAATCATATTATTACTTTAAATATATTCTATTAACCATTAATTATATGAAACTTGGATATTTTTAAATAAATACTATTCAAAAATGAATGATTATTTTTAAAAAAACTGCTATTTTGTAGCTAGACCAATTTATTACAAAATAATAGTCTTCTTTTTTTGTATTATCTTTATATAATTATTCTTTACTATTTAAAAATAGTTTTATTGATATCTTTAAGTATTATGCACTATAAATTCAATATATATATATATATATATAGTTTCTATTGAAAGTAAAGATGATGATTTTTTAATATATAAGAAATAGAAATAATTTTATTTTTTTATTTCTAAAATATTAATAATAAAATTGTAACTTTCATTATTAAATAAATATTATAAATTATTTTTTATATTTTCTTTATTTCTTTTTTATACTTTATTTTTATTATTTATTTTTTTAATTATTTGTTTTTCTTTAGTATTTTAAATATTTATTCTTTTATAATTTAATAATTTATTTAATTTTCTCTTTATATAATTTAATCAATTATTAGAAAATATAATATTATTATTATTCTTTTTTATAATTTTTTTGATTTTAACTTAATAATCTTAATTTTTATCTTCTTTTATTTTAGCTTCTTTTAATTATACTTTATCTAATTTAGATCTTACTTTTTTTATATATTACTTTAATTAAAAATAAATTTGAAAAATTATTATTTATTTTATATTTTTATTTTTGAAATTAAATTATTAATATTTTTTTGAAGTTAATTATAAATATAGTTCTATTCTAATATAATTACATAATTAAATATTAAAAATTAAATAATTATAAAAAAATATTATTATAATAAATTTGATAAATGAGTTTTCACTTGAATTCATCTTAATTATATTAAATTAGGAGAAACTGAATTAAATAATAAATAAAAAGAGAAAAATTAGACTATAACTTCAATATTAACAAAGATTTCTAAGATCTGTGCCAATATCTATAAATATTATCTTAATAAAGTTAATTGAATAATAAAGTAAAATATAAATCAAGAAAACTATAAAGATTAATTAGTAAAATCACTACTAATTAAAGACTTAAAATAATTAAATAATAAAGTTACTATTAATTAGAGAAGACTATAATTAAAAAAAATAAAACTAAAATAAATAAAAAATAAATAACTAAAAACATATGACTTATTTATAATAATAATCTTTTACTCTCAAAAATAATAAAATAAATAAAACAAAAAGTATAGCTTATTTATAGTAGAAATTCTTTATTCTTCAAAATATAAAATAATATCAAAAAAATCAAAAATTAATATAATATTATATTCAAATTAATATTAACTTTGTATAATTAAAGAAATAAAACTGAGTGAGAGAAAGAGTACTAGTATAATTATAAAAGAAATCTTTTTTTTAAAAAAGATTATTATTATAATAATAAGCTTTTTAACTATATTTTTTAAATAATTCAATTCAAAACTATTTATTTCAAGTTGGAATAGCAGGTTCTTTTATATAATTTTTGAATATATAAATTATTATAATATTACTAGTTAATATTATTTAAATATATATACTAATACTTTAAAATATTATAAAGAGCTATAATTTATTCAATATATTAAAATATTAATATTTGAAATATTAAAATCTAGAATATCAATATTTTACTAATTTTTAAAATATTAATATTCTATTAATATTAAAAATATTAGTGTTTATTCAAAATATTAGTATTTTTTTAATATTTAAAAATGTTAATATTTTATCAATCAAAATATATATATCATATATTTAATAGAATAGTATATTTGAAGATTCTTTTTAATTTTTAATAAAATAATAAAATAACAATATTTTTAACATTATATGATATATAAATCAAAAATGTAAATCTCAAATTAAAAGAATAAAATATAATATTTAAAATAGAAATATAAATATAATAGATAATTATAATAAAAAAAATAGATATATAATTATATAAAAAAATAAGAATAATTATATAATAAATTATGAAATTATAAAAAAATAAAATTTTATATAATTAAAAAAAGTTTATAAAATTAGAGAATTTTATATTACTATAATAATATATAGTTCTTCTTCAAAAAATTTTTGTTTCTACAAAAATTAAGTAATAATTTTCAATATCTTTTTCTTTTTCTTATTCAAATAATATAACTTGAATAATATAAAGTCAAATCAATTATCAAATACTTCTTCTTTAAACTGATAAATAAAAAAGATTTTTTGAGTAATATTATATAATTTATTATATTGTTACGGTGAATTGGTAAGTAGATTTTCACTTTGATTCACCCTAATGATATAGGGTTGGGAGAGACTGAAATAATAAAAGGTAATGAGAGGGGAATTAGACTATAACTTTCAATAATGACAAAGATTTCTAAG